AGTTGGGTAAATTAATTTTGTTGGGAGCAATCTAAGGTAAGGCTTGGCTTAAATTTTTCTTTCTGTTAAGAAAATAAAGTTTTCTTGGAATGCCATTTCTGATAACATATTATGTGAGGTTCTTTACTTTTAAGTGATTCTCCATTTACTTTTGTTATCTCTTGTAACTCTGGTTAAGAAATAAGTATTGTCTCACAGTGACTGATGATTTTTGACCAACGTTTTAAAACTTTTTTCACAAACTTCCCAATACCAAATTTTAATAGAAGTGGATAAAACTAATTAGATCTTCAAATTATCTTGAATTCTCAAGACTGAAAGAATATGACCTCAATCAATAATTTCAATCTAAACAAAAAACAAGGTACACCAGTAAATTATGTACTTATAAAGACAGAATAAGTGCTTATTTCTACTTTTCCTCTTTACTGATTTAAAAAGCAATTGTATAAAAATTTGTGTATGATGTTATCACTGGGACTAAACATAAATACAGATTTTCCAATAGAAACAGAAAGTTAAGTAGGTAGAAGCAACGCTGTACTAGCTTAAGAAATGATTACAGATGGAAACTTGGAAAAATAGGAACAATTTAAGAAAATAAAAACTGATAAACAAAAAGACTAATGTAAAAAAGTCTATAAATATACACATGTTCTAATTTCAGCTTCTCTGAGATGTATAAAATTATACAAAATAATAAACATAGAAATGTACTGTTAGTTTTGCAACATTTACAGATATAATATTTATAATATACCACAAAAAGTATGGAAAAGGAAACATCTACTTAAGTTTAAGATTTCTATATCTCACTAGAATTAAGTTAGTAAAGATATCAGCTGACTCTGATAGGGTAAGACATATGTGGTGACCTCTAGAGAAACCAATAAGGAAATGACTCAAAATATAGAGTGAACATCGCTGAAGTGATTTAAATGCTACATTAGAAAGTATTCAACTAATTCACAAGATGTGATGAGAAACAGAGCAACACACAAGACAGGGAAATATAAAGTAAAATGATAAAGTATGCCCAACTATATAAATAACATTAAATGTGAGTGAATTAAATTATATAATCAAAAGGCAGAAACTGTGAATCTGGATTTAAAAAGCAATGAACTTAGTGTCTACATGAGACACACATTAGATGCAAAGATACAAATAGACTGAAAGTGATGGGGTGGAAAATAATATGCCATATATGCAGCAATCACAAGAAAGTAGGATGGCTACCTGGCTATTCAACTGTCAAGCAGAGTAAACTTTAGAACAAACAAAAAATGCTAAAGGGCACAGATAAAAGGCAACATTTTTTTATGATTAAAAAAGACAACCTATCAGGAAGAGAGAACAATATAAACACACACATACACATACATCTAAGAACAAAGCACTAAAATGAAGCAAAAAAAAAAAATGATAGAAATGATGAAAGAAATACACAATTCAAAATATTGTTTGGAGACTTCAATACCTCACTTACAATAATAAACAACTATGCACAAAGGAACAAGGACATGCAACACTTAAATAATGCCCAAACCAAATATACATAAATGGTATCTATAGAACTCTCCATTTAGCGGCTGCAAAATATACATTTTTCTCAAATGCTCATGGCACATTCTCAGGATAGAAACTATTTTAAAGGACAAATCAAAATAAATTTTAAAGGACTGAAATAATACAAAGTATTTTCTTTGACTACAATATAATAAAATTAGAGTAATAGAAAAAAATGTGAAAAATTCACAAATGAGTAGAAATTAAAGAACACAGTTCTAACTAAGTAGCCAATGTGTCAAAGAAGAAATCAAAAGGGAAGTTAGAAAAAAAAAATTTTGAAGGACCTCCCTGGTGGCCCCGTGGTTAAGAATCCAACTGCCAATGCAGGAACACACATTGACCCCTAGTCTGGTAAGACTCCACATGCTGCACAACTAAGCCCTGCACAACTGTGCCACAACTACTGAGATCAAGCCCTAGAACCCATGCTCTGCAACAAGAGAAGCCACTGCAATGAGAAGCCCACCCACTGCAAATGGAAACTAGCCCCCACTCACCACAAGTAGCGAAAACCCCTGCACAGCAACAAAGATCCAGCATAACCAAAAATAAATTTAAAAATCTAAAAAAAAAAAATGCCTTGCAAAAATAAGTACTATGTGTGTTTTGCTCTTACTATAATTATACATAAAAACACAGCATTACCTGACACATAATAAATGCACAGCAAATATTAGCTATCATTTTCCTTACTATAAATCAGCATTCATTTTAAGCACTGTTTAATTTCTTGGCTTATGTGAATATACCTTTATGAGAGATTCCAAAGTATATTTGCTATAAACTATATAAACTACATAAAATAACATATCTATATCATCAGTTCAGTCAGTCAGTCATGTCTGACTCTTTTAGACTCCAGGGACAACAGCACACCAGGCTGCCCTGTCCATCAACAACTTCTAGAGCTTGTTCAAACTCACGTCCATCGAGTCAGTGATGCCAACCAACCATCTCATCCTCTGTCGTCCCCTTCTCCTCCTGCCTTCAATCTTTCCCAGCATCAGGGTCTTTTCTAGTGAGTTAGTTCTTCACATCAGGTGGCCAAAGTATTGGAGCTTCAGCTTCAGCATCACTCCTTCCAATGAATATTCAGGGCTGATTTCCTTCAGGATTGATTCGTTTGATCTCCTTACAGTCCAAAGGACTCTCAAGAGTCTTCTCCAACACCACAGTTCAAAAGCATCAATTCTTTGGTGCTTAGTTTTCTTTGTGGTCTAACTCGCACATCCATGCATGACTACTGGAAAAACCATAGCTTTGACTAGACAGACCTTGGTTGGCAAAGTAATGTCTCTGCTTTTTAATATGCTGTCTAGGTTGGTCATAACTTTTCTTACAAGGAGCAAGCATCTTTTAATTTCATGGCTGCAGTCACCATCTGCAGTGATTTTGGAGCCCAAGAAAATAAAGTCAGTCACTGTTTCCACTATTTCCCCATCTATTTGCCAGGAAGTGATGGGACCGTATGCCATGATCTTAGTTTTGTGAATGCTGAGTTTTAAGCCAGCTTTTTCACTCTCCTCTTTCACTTTCATCAAGAGGCTCTTCAGTTCTTCTTCACTTTCTGCCATAAGGGTGGTGTCATCTGCATATCTGAGGTTATTGATATTTCTCCCAGCAATCTTAATTCCAGTTTGTGCTTCATCCAGTCCAGCATTTCTCATGATGTACTCTGCATATAATTTAAATAAGCAGGGTGACAATATACAGCCTTGATGTACTCCTTTCCCAATTTGGAACCAGCCTGTTGTACCATGTCCGGTTCCAACTGTTGCTGCTTGATCCGCATATAGATTTCTCAGGAGGCAGGTCAGATGGTCTGGTATTCCTACCTCTTGAAGAATTTTCCATAGTTTGTTGTGATCCACACAGTCAAAGGCTTTGGCATAATCAATAAAGCAGAAATAGATGTTTTTCTGGAAGTCTCTTGCCTTTTCTGTGAACCAACAGATGTTAGCAATTTGATGTCTGGTTCCTCTGCCTTTTTTAAATCCAGCTTGAACATCTGGACGTTCACGGTTCACATAATGTTGAAGCCTGGCTTGGAGAATTTTGAGTATTACTTTGCAAGCATGTGATATGAGTGCAATTATGCAACAGTCTGAACATTCTTTGGCATTGCCCTTCTTTGGGACTGGAATGAAAACTGACCTTTTCCGGTCCTGTGGCCACTGCTGAGTTTTCCAAACTTGCTGGCATATTGAGTATAGCACTTTAACAGCATCATCTTTTAGGATTTGAAATAGCTCAACTGGAGCTATATCAAAACTATATCATATATTATAGAAAAAGACTACAACAAAAATGAAGTGTGACTGATTATAAAGTTTAAACAAATTATTTGCCTAACAAAGTTAATATAATTTCTCATTAAAATTATGCCTTTCTTTCAATACATAGGATAGTGTTTTTTTGGTGACCAAAAAATGATCAAGAAACTATTAATAATTCAGCCATTTGTTCTGTATCCCAGCTGTGAAAACAATGGTACATTAGTTTCCTACTGCTTCCAACGGTATATTAACTTCTTAAGCTACATACATAGTCACTGAAAATAACACAAATATATCATCTTACAGTTTCAGAGATCAGAAGTTCAAGGTGAGTCTTAGAAGACTGAAATCAAGGTACATTCAATTTGGAAGCTCCAGGGGGTTCCCTCTTCTCTGCCACCTCCAGGAGCTAGAGATCAGCTGCCTCCTTGGCTTGCGGCCCCTCCCTGCAGCCTCTCATTTCATCATATTTTCTTTTTCTGCCTTTGGCCTTCTTGCATTCCTCTTTAAGGACTCTTGTGACTGCCCAGGGCCAGTCCAAGTAATTAAGGATGGTGTCTGTCTCAAGACCTTCACTTAATTGTACCTATAAAGCCTGCTACTGCAGGGTAACAGGCTTAGCAACTCTGACGGTGAGACAAGGGCATCCTTGAGGACCCGACTCTGTCTCCATATGCAGGTCTCACCAATGAGAGGGAACCTCCGTTCAAGCTCTCGTCCTGGCCACTCCACTACTAATTCAGCTGTTCAGTCTCAGACATTAACAGATCCAACTGTTTTCACAAAAGGGTTTTACACACAGTGGCAACTCACGTTCTTGTTCAGGATGGCAGTGAGCCATCAAAGATAGCACTCAGAATTTAAAAGCATAACAAACTACAGTATTACCCACATACTCTGAAAACATGACTTCTCTACCACCCTGTTTTTATTCACTGGCTTAAATTGATCTGTAAGAGTCAACATTCTCCTCAAGAAAAAAGATCTTCCCTTACCACTAACTCCTTACAAAGCACTTTGCAAAATATAAGCAGGCATAAATTTTTCTTTAAGACTAAAAATTACAAAATCCCTTTAAAACAAACTTGTTAAAATATGTAAATATTTGAAAACATTAAGAAATGTTAAACTAGAACTAAAACCTCTTCTTACCATATACAACATATTTCAGTTGGAGATTTTTAATGACTTCTTCCACAGTAGGTTTATACTCCAGAAAACATGTGTAAACACCACTCATGCTTTCCTCAAAGTTCTGGAATACAAGGCTTCCTGTGGAGGTGATTTGTGCAGTGCTGTTTTCTAATAGAATAAGAAGATACAGTGATCAGTGGCTTAAATAACATGAAATTGAAATAAAGTAACAAGCTATTTTCTAAACAGAGAAAAGCCATCCAAATTTACCTGCTATACATTAAAGAAGTCGAGGGAACACAGTCATTGTGTCTGGTGTTTCTTGACAGTAGGTGCCAAGATGTACTTCTGACTGTCAGAATTTCACTAACCAGAGGTCATGAAGTGTGTAGCTGCCTAAGTGGAAAGAGGCTAAAAATCACACACACATGATGTGCTCCTAATCTGCCTGCTGCATTGAGATGGCATGATCAATATTCATAAACATATAAAATAGTATGTATTTATATACTGTCAAGTATTTATATAGACTGTCAAGTAACTATATCTATATATACACATATAAATATTTTATAGATGAGTTATGTTCTCAGTAAGCATACAAACTATATATTAAAGGGATGAAACACAGTATCTGGAACAAAGACTAACTCAATATAATAACCGACAACTAGGGATTGGTTGTCATTACACAGTTACCAGGCAAAAGCTGGATTACAACTCTTAAGAGTTGCACAAGAAAGAAAATATAGGTTGGATAACTTCATGGCCAGAGTCACACAATCAGAATTGCTGTGCTAGAAGTCAGAACTGGATGTAAGAGCTCTTGCAACTTCAACATTACTTAAAGAAGCAAATGGGAGAAAGCCATGTTATGTAATGGAAAAGAAGCCTGATTTAAAAGGATTAAGACTTGGATTTGAGGTGTACCTTTCTCACAAACTGTAACTAAGCGATAACCACTTAATCTTCTTGAAGTCTAGCTCCTTCATTTATATAACAAAGAATCATAAAATATGATAATATATCTCATAGAATGTTTTTGTATAACAAATACAAGGAATGCTAAAGTACTTGAAAAAGCTATGTCATTAAGCAATTAAAGGTTGTTATTCTGAAAGTTCATAACCATGGTTCTGCAATAGAAAAATTATTAGACATTAAAACGCACTTACTTAGTAATTTAATAAACCATTCATAACAATTAAAAATATTATCTCAGTAAATAATTGCTCATCATTTTCTACTTTAAGAAAATAATTTATTGCCATAACTGTGAAATTGAAATTTATTTTGAAGCAATTACTTCAAAATAAGACAAAAAGATTAGTGTTATTATTAAGCAATTTTCATCATTTCTTCACTAACAATTTGTTGGGTCTCTAGACATGCAAAGCCCTGCTTCAGATACTGAAGGAAAAATGAATAGATGGATGCACCTGCCCTCAAGTGTGCTACATAGAGCATTATGCCTTGAGAACTCCCATTTCTATATCCTGGATGAAGCTGAAAAATGTGACATAGATTTAGAATGCATTTCTATTGTATTGCCTATTTCTTCATGAATATCTTTTAATGAAAGAGTATATATTTATCATAACATGTTGTCTCCTTTTTGGAACAGATAAAAGTTTTTCAAGTGGCTGATATACTGTATTTCAGCAAAGACTGATATATCATATCATATATGATAAAAGGTGCCCACAAGTTGTAAAGAAATTTTAGAATAATATGTCAGCAATGAGGCTATGTATTCCCTGGCATTAATTTGAAACAGAAATTTCCTCAAACAGAAGCATCAATTTAAAAGTGTATTAATATATATGAGTGCCTACTACAACATTAAATATAATGACCACCAGAACATCTAGTATCATACAATTTGTAAGAAAATACTCTCTGGCTACATTGTTATTGTAAGACATTTAAAAGTCACACACTTTGAAGAAATGCCCACAGGATTTCACAGCCAGGAGAAGAATCCACTTAACAAATACCACTTGCCAAACTGACTTTTAAATAACTAAGTTTAAATGGGATGCCAAGTGAAAACGCAATAACATATCACTATAAGAACTAATATAACAACAGTCAGTCAATAAATAATTGAACTAAATGCTGTACTTCTCTATCTAGAATTTAGCTTGATCATCTAAAAATTTAGAGTTGGATTCAATTTCTAGAAACTCATGCCTCAGAGCTCTCTAAAATGACATGGCAGAATTTAAGCACAATTTCAGCTTAGCTTACTCTTTCAAAAAATAGGTTTATACTTTTGCTTTCTGCTCAGATACGGAGAGTGAATATAACAGCATTAACATCATATAACAATAAGGGAAAAGACAGACAAAGCATTAACCAGTGAACTCTCTTGAACCTATTAAACCCCTCAGGCAGGCAGGGCAGCTAGTCACCTGAAATCCAGGAATGGACAGTGCCTACAGGAGAACCTGAACCCAAGCATTTGCTTCATAACTGGCTGAAAGGCTTCAGTGAATTGCTAAAAGCCAAGTGCTAACCAGTGTGTGCATGTGAAACCTCTGAGGATCAGAGATGGGGGTGGGTAGAGGAAGTTGCACCCTCTTACAGGCTTTTACCTTCATGAAAACCTCTGGGTGTTCAAAAGGAAGATCAAGGGAACCCTGAGCAAAAGTCTCACAGGGTGCTGGCTGGAGGGGGTCCAGCAGCCCTGTCAAAACTCTACCCACATCCATTTCCCCTGCTTCCAGGGAAGGGGCAATGTTTGAACCTCCAATGGGAGAAGAAACAAAAATCATTATCAAAAGCACTGGGGGAAAATGTTGCCACTAGAGAAGGAAACAGGAAGGAAAAAAAGTCATCCTTGAGGCAGAGTCAGCAAGAAGTACCAGGCCAGCACTACAGCTGGATGGAGGAGAGGATGAAGCACTTCTGAAGGCCACACCCACAAGAATGGGGCACCACAGCTGTCCAAGGCTTAATCAGAACACTACAGAGCCCCTCGCTCCCAACTGCCCATCCCTAGTAAGAGCCTAGCAACACAGTGAAATCAAGCTAAGAGAGTTATAAGAAAGAGATTCTCTCTGAGGAAGTCAAGGAGAAATCAAAGCCAAAGATGAGATACTGGAGATAAAAAAAACTTTTAGTAACCATGGCAATAACCAATATCAAAGCCAGACAATTCTTGACTGATAACAACTCCTAATAGTAAGGTTTACCTATCTCAATGTTTACTATCTTATTCAAAATGTCAAACTTTAACAAAAATTAAGAAGCATACAGATAGGTAAGAAATGACACACTTCCAAAACACCAAGTTATGACACAGATATCAGAAGTATCAGACAGTTTACTTAAAATAACTATGAAAGATGCATTAAATAATTTAATGGAAAATATAGAAAGCATGCAAGATCAGATAGGAGATTTCAATAGAGACTGAAACTCTATGAAATAATCGAATGGAAATGTTGGAACTAAAACCAAAACAAACAAAAACTATTAAAAAAGTAACAGATGAAATTTTCTTTCAGTGGGCTCATAAAGAGGTTTGACATGGCTAAGAAAAGAATCAATGACTTGAAGTTAGGTCAAAAGAAATTTACCTAGCCAGAATCACAAAAAATACCTCCAAGAAGAATGAATCCAAGAGTTACAGAACAATTTCAGTGTTCATAAGGGAGATAGGAACTTCAGAAAGAGCAGAGGAACAGGAATGAGCAGAAGAAACACTGGAAAATAAAATGAGACTTTGAAAATTAGTGACAAACCAAAAAACAGATTCAAGAAGCTTATAGAACACAAAGCAGAATAATACAAATAACAACAACAAAATGCATTTAGTGTTTAAATCACTGAAGTGAAAGGAAAAGAGAAAACCTTAAAATTAATCAGAAAAAAATAGCACAGTGCCTACAGAGAGACGAAAACTAGTTTATAGCAACTTCTCACAAGAAACCACGAAAGCGAAAAGAATACAGAATGCCATCTTTGGAATGCTGGAAAAAAAATTGCCAGTACAGAATTCTACAACCATCAAAAGAAAAAGATAAACCAGTTTGAGATATAATCAGAAATCAATGAAACTGAAAACAGAAAAGTACCACAGAAAAATTAAGTCTAAAGCTGGTCCCTTGAAATGATTGATAAAACTTGCAGCCAGAAAGACCAAAACGAAGAAGAGACACAACCAATGTCTGGAGTGAATAAGGGCATATCATAGAGATCCTGAATATATAAGAAGATAACAAGAAAATGTCACAAACGATGCACATTAATTCAACAAGTTGAAGAAAATCTAAGATGGGCAAAATTCCTTGAAAGATACAAACTACAAAAAGTCACAAAATGGTGAGGGGAAAATCCTAGTCCTACCTTTGTTAGATTAGTATCTGTGAACTCTAAAGCCAGACTTCAAAGGCACATGCCTTCAAGAAAAGCACCTTGCTCTCTCTCTCAGTGCCTTCCTATTCCACATATAAAGGGGCAAAAATGGCTGTACTTACTGCAAATAGCTACCGCAAAATTTAAATGACTAGTATATGTAAATTGCTTAGAACCGTATCTACTACATGATGAAATCATACCTGTTGAATACTTCTATAAAACTGAAAATAAAAACACTAAAATAAAAATACATTTACAGAATATATCCATATATGTGTGTGTGCACACACATTCACTACATGTATGAATATGCATGCAATAGATAATATGTATGTATTTGTGTGTATTCATACATGTAGTAAATGCATAAAAAAAAAGCTAAGGAATAATATTGTAAAAGTTTAGGATAGCATTTACCTGACAGGGGTTGGGAACAGAAGAATGGGATTTTTAAACATTAGAAGGTTCAACAGTCTTGAGAATGGTATACCTTGGCTTCTACTGTAAGATGTTGGTTTTATTATGCTTCATAATTTATACACACACACACACACACACACACATATATATATATATCTTATCCAGATTTGTATACATCAGATGCTTCATAATAAAAATATTAAAGTAGAATAAGATATAATCTACAGTCTCATTTTTAAGAAACATAATAACTATGCAATTACAGGGTAGAGCTCAACATATGTGTGTGTATGTGCTTCCATAGGTTTGTGTGAACATTTAGAAAAGTGGGAAAGTCCACACACCAAAGAGTTAATTCATCAGAATAGTATTAGGACCGAAGTAAAAGATACAGGTCTCCTTGTAATAAATGTACTACTTTTCTAAACTAAATATTTTGGAAGGAAGACAGAGACCAGGGGAGGTGTGGGAGTGGGCAGGGGAGGGAAAGAGAAAGAGAGCTGACCAAATCTAAGACTTGGTCCCTACCTTCACAACCATCTAAACAGTCTGGGTATTTCTCTCTGAAGGAATGCTCAAGTACATAATTACATTACAAGTTTCTTTGGGTCACCTAGAGGAGAACTATTTTTGGAATACCCATAAATATAAAACAAGTATAGTGTAGTTTAACCTACAGTCCAAAAAGCTCTATTTTTCAGGCTTTAAGAAAAGCAGACATTTTCTACATCTTTCAACAATAACAGTGATAGGGCTGAGCTTTAAAGCCAGCAGACAGCAAACTACGATATGACACTGCATTGAAAAACAAACTGTAATCATGCTATCAGAATTCTAGAATTTTCTGGGAATAGTTTTTATAAATATAAAACCATTGCATCAATATGATTTTATCCTTACCTGGAAACAGCTACATTTTTGACATCTATTTTCCATTATGAAAGTGAGTAAAATAAAATATCACTTGCAGATAAAGGATTACAAATTCACAAACATTCTATACATTGTAATACAAACTGCAAGACCTCTCCTGGCTTCTTAGAGAAGAACAACTTTCACATCTCAATTTCCAAGTCAAAGGGGTAACAAACTACAAATCAGTAAGTTAAACGCCTCTTTTTTGAACTTACAGAGTTTTAATATCAAATGTAAAATATACATAATATTTATCTTTTAGTTATATTATGTGCTTTCAGAGAGCAATAAAAATAAAATCTGATTATATTTTCAGTATTGGATGCCTTTACACTTGGTCCATTTCACTGATTTATAGCAACTGCTCAACTTCTCAGAATTGCTGTTATCTAGGCAGATTCCTTCCTATATCCTAGTACTACAGTCAGGCAGAGATTAAGTCTGCTCTTTGCATCTCCCACAAAACTCATTAGCACAACGGCCTCCACCAAGTAGTCACTAGCTAAGGGCTGAATAATTCAGCTTGGAAGACACACCACCTAACCCAGAGTGTGCAGTAGCTCTTCACACCTTGAGCTATTTTAGGATCAAGTTAACTTAAGTTAAATTCAAACATAATCCATACTGTTTGGTCAGGATTTTGGTCAGAATGAAATATAAGATAAGAAACAAAAAATCATAACTACTAATAAAGTCTCAAGTTGCCCCTATTTGGGGCTATATAAAGCAAGATCAGAGATTTAAATCTAGAGCTCAAAGTACTCATTTGTATTTTTAACAAAAGCAAGAATCACTTTTGTTTTTTCATACATACTTTGTTAACAAAAGTATAACAGGTAACCAAAATGATTTTATGAAGTTTATAATAAAAGGAACATTTTTGGAAATACGAGCACTTAGAGAATCCTCCAGTTTAATCATTCATTATGTCTCTATCTCAAATTAAGATCTATGAAAAATGGTCACACCATCTACATTTTTAGATTCTAACTCCAAGAACAAATCACAAGAAAAATAAATGAGCTACTAGATAAATGTATATGAGATAAAAATACTGTTTTTGTTCTGGGTACATTTCATACACATCACTTTTAATTATGACAACTGAAACAGAGTCCTACCTGAAATGATTTTTCCTTTAGGCCCATGCCACTGGAATGATGGGTCTATCAGTTCGGAATTCCGCAGCCGCTGGGTTACACATAACACATGTGGACTCTTTTGATGGAGCATAACATATACTTTCACTGAAAATACAATATTAAAATGTCCCAATAACATTCTATGTTCATTCATGTTCTATAATGGCTTACATTTTTGTAGTCTGGGCAACTTGTGTTCAGAAGTTTTCTTTGGATTATTGCTATTGCTTGGTAAGAATTAAATTTAACTGGATTCCAGTAACTAGCTTTCAAAAATATACACTTATTTTATTTGTGTGTATGGGTAATCTTAATCTTAGCACAAATTATTGGCCTTTTTATTCAGAGTTCATGTATACTTATTGTACTCTCAGAAAATTATTTTAATTACAAAGTATTAAGATAATTCTATATCACGACTTAACTTATTTTGCCAAGATACCAAATCTGAAAGAAACTGACATGATAAATTTGTTTAGATTATAGGAATGATACATTATCCACAGTGATGTAACACAACATACTGAATTTTAGAATTGTAATGTGATTAAAAAATTGACAAATATGTGCTTTGATCGATTTTAATTACTAAGCATTTTTTCAATTTGCTTTAAAATTTAAACAATACTGTTCATTAAACAAGCAAAAATAGTATTGTCTAGGAGATAGAAAAGGAACACAGTAAAGATTCAGTTATTTTGAATTTACTCATAAGGAAGATTTTAGGAAAGCTTCTAGCAACTCCTCAGTAATTTCATAGCAATACTTCACTGATCAACCATATACTAAGATTTCTGTGATCCAGTAAGATAAAAATTGTTTATGAGAATTAAAATTCTCCTTGACTTTGTACAGAGACTCTCTCTAAACTTTTACCATATAGCATCATGTGTATTGAATGCGGTTTTTTGATAGCTACCCTTGCTTAGGTTAAGAAAGTTCCCCTCTATTCTTGGTAGTATGTTTTCCTGGGACACTTACACCTATATTCATAAATGTAATGTGCATAATTTTCTTATATTATCCTTTGTCTTTTTCCAATTTGTACAAAATTTGTGATTTAGTATTTAGCATTATTGCTATTATTCAGCATTATTAAGTTAGGCATCTAAGATTATAATAGACACATAAAAGGAATTAGGCAGATTTTTTCCTATTAATGTTCCCTGAAAGAATACATAAAGTGTTTTTGTCCCTAGAAACTGTATAGTCTGGTACTTACTTTTGGCAAGGAAGGAAACAGCAAAACAAACTTTTTATTACCAATCAGGAAAATTTAATTATTAGTTTACTAAGTACTCTAATCAAGTCTGTTTCAGAAGCTTACATTTTGATAGTTATTCATTATAAGTTTATTATATAAAATTATTCAGAATATTAAGCTATTATATTTAAATTTCACCATATCTCAATTTATTCATAATATTTTTATACATGAGTTATTCTCTTATGATACAAGGCAGCTTTTAGTTTCAATCCACTTCTTCGCTGGTCTCAAGTTTTCCTCTTATTTTCTACTTACCTCAGTTTAAATGTCTCTTCTTTTTTTCTACTTTTATTAAATGTTTCTAGTATTAAAGTGTCACTCCTCAGCACAAGTTACTGGCCCTTTGGTAAGGACACTATTTGTGTGGGATTTGGGCTTACCCTGATGACTTCATTTTAACTTGATTACTTCTATAAAAATTTTGTCTCCAAATAAATTCATTTTCTAGGAAACCGGGGATTAGGACTTAAACACATGACTTTACAGAGAAGCATAATTTAGCCCACCATACCAAGACTCAATTGTTTTTTCTTAACTGAAATACAAATTCACTTTAAGGATACATTTAAGCATATCTGATAAAAGAAAGTAATAAAAAGGGAAGGTAGTTACACATGACTGTTTTATAACTCAAGTTTAAAAACTATAGCTTTAAAACAAAAACTGCGATAAAAGTTGTGCTATCAGTGAAAATGGCAGAGTAAGGAACTCTGAAATCATCCCCATCATAAATGTAATATGAAAAATAAGTGTGGCACATACTGTTAGAATCAACATTTTCAGAACTCTAGAAATTAATCAAAGACTTGCAGCAACCCAGGAAAAATGTATTTAAAAATAACCAACTGAATCTCAGTGTGATGGGCTGAATTATGCTTCTCCCTAAAGTCATATGTTTAAGTTCTAATCCCCAGTTCCCCAGAAAGTGAACTTATTTGAAGACAGAGTTTTTATAGAAGTAATCAAGTTAAAATGAGGTCATCAGGGTAGGCCCAAATCCAGGAGGACTAGTATCCTAATAAAAGATGGAAATTTGGACATATAGACAAAGAGGAAAACTATGTGAAAAGACACAGGGAGATGTCCGTCTCCAAGCCGAGAGAACAGGTATTTTCCCTGCTGCCCTCAGAAGGATCATCCAAGCCTGAGTGGCTGGACTTCAAGCCTTCAAAACTGTAAGACAAAGCATCCCCGTTGTTTAACTCACCCAATCTGGTACTTCTTTACAACAGCCCTAGCAAAGCAATAGACCAGGTAAAAACAGTGACTTCGTAGCATTCTGAGTCGCCCTGTTTCCAGGAGAACCAGCAGCCTGGCAGCCAGCAGAAAGGGAGCTGAGGGCAAATGATCTCCACCGCCTCCTTCCCAGAGAACTGTCATTAGCTGACCTTCCTACCTTCTGTCCCTAGAAGGCACCTTCACAAAGCTATCTTTACATGACCTAATTGAGAGCATACCCACTGTAAAATAAAAGCCTTTTCCCCCAAAGAATCTGCTTAAAAACAACTAGAGGCTACTTAACTTTGTAAATGCCTGAAGCAGTGGGAACATCTGAGGTAAACATCATTCTAACCAAAAACCTTACAAGAAAAAGCTGGGCATGACATGTCTATGGGAGCTTTGAGAAGTTTGAACATATTACTAGGAGAAAAGAAGGCCAAAGCAGGCACAGAGTCGGGCACGTGAGCAAGACTGGGCATGCTCAGTAAGAATGAGAGGCCTTAAAGTTCTCACCTCTGGCTGAAACTGAGTCTCTGCAAAGCAGAAAGTGAAGGATACAGCAGAGTTGTCGACTGTCTGGCTAAATATTTAAGGTATGCCACAACAGGCACAGAAAGATTTTCAGAAAATACTAGGAGACTGACTGGTTCAGCTGTTCAGTGAAATCTCTGTTGAACCATCTAACGAAGCAGAGACTTCAGTGACCACAGATGGCAAAGAATACAGAATTTAAAGTGAGTTCAGAAAAGCCACTAAACAAGTGCTACAGGAATACCTCGTTCGATCATACTCTGCTTTACTGTACCTAACAGATTTTACATTTGTTAATCTTCAATGGTTTATAGCAACTCTGAGTTTCAAATGATGGCTAGCATTTTTTGGCAATAAAGTGTTTCCTTCTCTTTTTAAAAAGATTTTATTGCAATATAACTGGTTCACAATGTTGTACTAGTTACAGGTGTACAGCAAAGTGGATCATTTTACATGTAACCACTCTTCAAACTTCTCTTCCCATACAGGCCAATTAGAGAGCGCTGAGGAGAAGCAGGCTCTCACTGGGGCTCCCCTGGCGGCTCAACCGGTAAAGCGTCTGCCTGCCATGCAGGAGACTCCGGCTGGATCCCTGGGTTGGGAAGATCCCCTGGAGGAGGGGAAAAGCTGCCCACTGCAGTATTCTGTCCTGGAGAACCCCCTGGACTGCACAGTTTGTGGGGTCACAGAGTCAGACAGGACCGAGTGACTTCCGTTTCTGGCTCCCCTGGTGGCTCATCTGGCAAAGCGTTTGCCTGCAGTGCTGGAGACCTGGGTTCAATCCCTGGGTTGGGAAGATCCCCTGGAGGAGGGGAAAAGCTGCCCATTCCAGTATTCTGTCCTGGAGAACCCCCTGGACTGTGCAGTTTGTGGGGTCGCAGAGTCCGACAGGACTGAGTGACTTCCGCTTCTGGCTCCCCTGGTGGCTCATAGGGCAAAGCGTCTGCCTGCAGTGCCGGAGACCTGGGTTCAATCCCTGGGTTGGGATTCCCCTGGAGAAGGCAATGGCAACCCACTCCAGTCCTCTTTCCTGGAAAATCCCACGGATGGAGGAGCCTGACAGGCTACAGTCCATGGGGTCACAGAGAGTCAGACACGTCTAGCCACCCACCTCACTTTGGTGGCTCAGCAGGAAAGAATCTGCCTGCACTGCAGGAGACCTGGGTCCAGTCCCTGGGTCGGGAAGATCCCCTAGAGGAGGGCATGGCCGCCCACTCCAGCATTCTTGCCTGGAGAATCCCACAGACAGAAGCCGAGCGGGCGACAGTCCGCAGGATCGTACAGAGTCAGACGTGCCTGAGCACAGTGCAGGCTCATATTAGTTATCTCTTTATGTGTGTATGTGTATTTGTGTGTGCACACTCAGCCATGTCCACACTGCCACAACCCCATGGACCGCAGCCCGCCAGGGCCCTCTGTCTGTGGAGTTTTCCTAGTCACGTCTGTATGTCAATCCCGATCTCCCAGTTTATACCTCCTGCCCTCATCCCCTGGTGACCATAGCTTTGTTTTCTACATCTGTGACTTTGCTTCTACTTGGTAAGTTCATTTGCACCCTTCTCTTGGTTCCTTATATAAGCAGTATCGCATGATACTTGTATTTCTCTGTCTGACTTACTTTACTATGACAGCCTTTAGGTCCACCCATGTTGCTGCAAACAGCATTAGTTTTTCTTTTATGGCTGAGTAATATTCCATTGTATATATGTACCACATTTTTTTTATCCATTTCTCTTCTGATACACATTTAAGTTGCTTTCATATCCTGACTATTGTAAATAGTGCTGCTATTTAACAGCAAAAAATATATGAAAACTGAGGTGCATATATCTTTTCAAATTATGGTTTTCTCCAGATATATGCCCAGGAGAAGGATAAAGTATTTTTTATTTAAGGTACATATACTGGTTTTTAACCAAATGCTATCATACACTTAACAGACTACAGTACAGTGCAAATATAACTTTTATGTGCACGGGTAAACCAAAAAAATTCATGTGCTTTGCTTTACTGTGATACTCACTTTGTTGTGATGACCTGGAACCAAACATGCAATATCAGTCGGTGATGGATAGGGAGGCCTGGT